TTACGTGCATTTCTTATAGACAGGATATAACCGGATTGCACTTCTTGGTTTATTTATTTGTTTGCATGTTTGTTTATTTGTTGTTTACCCAAACTGAAAATCCCTGTCAATCAATAAGTGAATTTAACTCATTTACATATGAGTACTATTCTGTTTGGATTTATTCCTATATATTTTATGTTATTTTTTACCCTTTTATCCTCTTTCCTTCCTTTTGCTGGATTGCTGGAATTGGAGTTCTATTATTTTTCACACAGTGGGGAATTCATATATTCTATTGTAGCCTTCTACATTCTGTTTGTATGCTCTTCAGCATACAAATTAAACATACTTTTCTCATTTATATTGTTAAAAATAGTCTCTTTCTAATGAAAAAAGAAATGTGAGCATGCTTTTTCTTTCTTTCTTTCTTTTTTTAAAGATGACTGGTAAGGGGATCTTAATCCTTGACTTGGTGTTGTCAGCACCACACTCTCCCAAGTGACCCACAGGCTGGCCCAAGCATGCTTTTCCTTCCCTCCCCTCCACACATGTTGATATCATTTATGGTTTTCATTTCAGATTATTAATAATTTTTTAACAATTAATATTTTATTAGATTTAACTTTTTTTGCTCACCATATTAATTTTTCTTGTTCTTTCTTCTTTATGAAGTGTATCCTCCAATAATTCATTCATAAAGTATCTGTTAATGGTGAACTTTGAGTCTTTTTATATCAGAAAATTTCTTGATTTTGCTCTCACATTTGAATGAGATAGTAGCTGCCTGTAGAATTTTAGATTTCAAAATTATTTCCTTATCAAAATGTAGACTTAAGATCTATGCATATTACTTTATGTAAATCATGCTTCAATTTAAAAAACCTCTCTGAACTTTGAAAGATATTGTTCCATTGTCTTTCAGTATCCAGTATTATTGAGGAAGAGCTGCTGATAATGTAATTCTAATTCTTTTGTATTTGATCTCTCTTTTCTCTCTCTCTCTCTCTCTCTCTCTCTCTCTCTTTGGGTTTTCTGTTTAGCCCTTGTACTCAAAATTTCACTAATGTGTCAAGGTAAAGGTCTTTTTTTTCCCCACTTATTCTTGGCAACTGGTGGACTTTTTCAGTCTAATAAGTCATATCTTTCTTTAATTCTGGGAAAATTTTCTCTAATCTTTGAGTATTCTCTTCCATTTTCTCCATTTTCTTCTTCTGGAATTCCTATTGGATGGATATTTGTACTTCTGCATCTTTTCTCCTTATCCCTTTCTATATATTTTATCTCTTGGTAATTTTTCAGTGCATTCTGGTTGATTTCAGATTATCAATACATGTTTCAGATCATCAATACATTCTTTCCTTAATTTTTTCCTCATTTTTGAAAGATGATTTTGCTGAATATAGAAGTTTTGGCTGACATTTCTTTTTTTTACATGCCTCCCCCCTACCCTTTTTTTCCTTCAATATGTTCACTATATCATCACAGTACTTCTGGTTTCCATTCTTTCTTTTTTTTTTTTTTGTCTTTTGTCTTTTTTCCGTGTCCGGCAACAGATCACAACCCTCAGTGTTGCCCCCATACCGGACTGGGGACCGGCAACGGGATTGCAACCCTCGGCGTTGCCCCCGCACCTCGCTCAGCCAGTGAGCGGGAACTGGTCTGCATGTGGGATCCGAACCCTCGGGCGGGAGCGCCGCAGCGCTTCCCAAGCGGCGCACTATCCAGTGCACCACCGGGCCAGCCCATGGTTTCCATTATTTCTGATGAGAAGTAAGCTATTATTGGGGACTGCCTGTATGTGATGAATTGTTTTCTCTTGCTGCTTTTGACATTCTCTTTGTCTTTAGTTTTTGACAGTTTGACTATGATATATCTCCGTATGCATCTCTTTGAGTTTATCCTACTTAGGGAGGAAGCAGAGTGGTGCACTGGAATGAGGACTAGCTTTTGAGATTATCCTACTTGGAGTCTGTCAATCTTCTTGAATGTATCGATTAATATTTTTCATCAAATTTGGAAACCTTTTGAACTTGACTTCTACAGTTATTTTTTTCCTGTTTATCTCCCTCTTCTCCCCTGGTCCTCCTATTATGTGTAGGTTGGTGCACTTGATGGTGTTGTACAGGTCTCTGAGGCTTTATTCATTCTTTTTTTTCTTTCTATTCCTCAGACTAGATAAGCTCCATTAATCTATCTTCAAATTCATTGGTCCTTCATCCTGCCAGCTCAGATCTGTTACTGACCCCCTTTAGTGAATTTTTATTCCAGATATTGTACTTTTCAACTCCAGAATTTCTATTTGTTTTTATAATTTCTATCTATTAATGTTCTCTATTTGGTGAGACATCACCAACATACTCTCCTTTAATTCTTTAGACACCTTTTCCTTCAGTTCTTTGAACATATTTATATTACCTAATTTATTTTATTTTTATTTTTATTTACTTATTTATTTTTGGTCCTTTTTGTGACCGGTAAGGGGATCTCAACCCTTGGCTTGGTGGCGCCTGCACCGCGCTCAGCCAGTGAGCGCACCGGCCATTCCTATATAGGATCCGAAACCACAGTGGGAGCACTCCCAGCGCTGCACTCTCCCGAGTGTGCCACGGGGTCGGCCCTATATTACCTAATTTAAAGTTTTTGTCTAGTAAGTAAAAAACCTGGGCTCCCTCTGGACAGTTTGTAGTGAACAATTTTTTTCCACACACAGGCCACACTTTCTTGTTTCTTTTCTTGTTTCTTTTTTTTTTTAACTGGAACTTTTTAGATAATATAATTTGGCAGCTCTGAAAATCAGACACCCTTCCTTCCAGGGCTTGTTGTTGCTGCTGTTTTGTTGTTGTTCTTGCTGCTGCTGCTGCTGCTGCTGCTGTTTGTTCATTTGTTCATTTGCTTGTTTGTTTAGTGACTTTCCCGGCCTAATTCAGTAAAGTCTGTATTCCCTGTAATGTGCAGCCAACTGAAGTCTCTGCTCAGTTAGTTTAGTGGTCAGCTAATGACTAGACAGAGATGTCCTTAAATGCCTTGAGCTAGTAAATCTCCCCTCCTTTACCGAGGAGCTCTGTGTGTGGGTTGAAACACACCTTCAACACTCGGGTTGTTTACAACTCTGTCTTAGCTTTCACTTCCTGCTTCTATAGGGCTTCAAGGTAAGCCAGAAACGAGAGATTGGGGCCCTCTCAAGTCTTTCCTGTGCACATGCACATACCCAGGAATATGCCAGAGCTTTTCAAAGTCCTCTATGGACATTTCATTTCACAGATCTTCCTTGTAAATTTTTGACTGGGCTCTTGTTTGCCGCAAATGGTATCACGATGATGTTAAACAATTGAAGCTGGTTTTGTTTGAGTAATGTCCTGAGGATAGGGGTTTTCCCATGTAGGGTTAAATAATGTCCTGGAGATAGGGGTTTTCCCATGAAGAGAGCTCCAAGTGGGGTTAAATGATGACTACACCCTGTAAATGAAGTTTTTCCAGAGAACTGAGATATAGGTCAGATAGTGACAGTATTCTGGAGACAGAGCTTTCTGAGGAGCTCCCAACTCAGTCTGCCCCCTTCCCAATGGCTTCAAAGCTGCTAATTTTCAAGACTACTGTGGAGCTGGGGGGACAGGGATGGGAATAGTTAAAAGACCACAAACCCCACTGTTCTTATTAAAGTTCAGCAGTGTATCTTGGATAAGCACTCTTCAGATTGTTAGCCTTTGGTTAATTTCCAGAGTTCTGAAAAAAGTTTATTTTGATAATTTTGCTGGTAATTTTGTTGCTGTTATGGAGGAGTGGATTTGCAGAGGTCCTTACTCCACCACTGCAGAAGTCCCACCTCTGGTGGGAGAGCATTCATAAGATCAGGCTTGCCTAGGTGTTAACTAAGAAGATAGGTATTCACTGAATAGAATTAAAGTACTACCCTGGCCCTGAAGGGATCTGGGTCAAAAAAAAAAAAAAAGACACTTAAATGATGAAAATCTTGTTCCAGGATCCATAGGGATCCATAGGATTCTAAAACATTGGGGTGATGTGGTAAGAGATATTATTATCTTCTTCCTTGGTAAGAGTCAGTGGCTGCCAGGACTCAGACCCAGGTCCCTGATGCCCAGTGCTCTCTTGGTTCGTCCTCCTGCAAGACATCTTTTCCAGGGGAAGGAGCTGCCATATTTTGAAGACTTCTAAGCTAGAAGCTACATATTCATTATATTTCTTCACAACTTACTAGCAAGAAAATTATTATTATTTTCTTTTCCTTTTTTTTTTTTGTCTTTTTTTTTTTTTACTGACCGGCAATGGGATTGCAACCCTCGGTGTCGCGCCCGCACCGCGCTCAGCCAGTGAGCGGGAACCAATCACCACATGGGATCTGAACCCTCGGCAGGAGCGCCGCCACGCTCCCAAGCGGTGCACTCTCCAGTGCGCCACCAGGCCGGCCCAAGAAAATTATTTTATGTCCACTTTGCAAATGAAGAAACTGAGGTTCACAGAAGTCAAGTCACATGCCCAAGGTTAGAGCATTCATGGATGGTGGAGAGGAGACCCCACTCCAGAGGAAAGATACTCCGATGTCATCAAGCCAAATGTCCTGACCCTCTGACTGGCTACAGGGTGGGCAGAGAGGCAGTTTGTGGAGGTGCCCATTGTTACAATTTTGAGTGCAATGGGTCTGAGCCCTCTCCAGATAGTCCTATCCCCCAGGAGATGCCTCCCCACCAGTCACAGAGCAGGGAACAAAAGCAAAGTAATAGGATTGCCTGCCACAAATATCTGCTGAGGGGAGCTCCCAGGTCAACTCCAGCCTTCAAACAGCCCCCCACCCCCAAATCCAGGGAGGCACGGACAAAGTCTGGTTGGGACTTGAGGGCTGGGGGTATAGGACTATCCCCTTCATGTGATCAGCGAACAGAGTCCCTGGGCTTCAGTGCCCCAAACTCCCCCCAACCCCAGGCCACCTGCATCCCAACCCGTCCACTGCTCCGGCCACTCCCACTGACTGCAACAAAGAGGACGTAGTCATTACAAAATTATTCATGAAAGATAAACTTTATTTTGATATCTCAAAAATTGGCAAGGAAATCACCACCACCACAACAGTGCACTTTCAAGTGTTAAGTCCTCTTCAGATGCATGATCTCATTGGGACCTCACAACCATTCCGAAAGGTAGGCAGGGCTGGCAACTCCAGAACACTTCACAGGGGACTTGTTGGAGGTGAGCAAGCTTTCACACGGAACTGTTAACCCCTCACCTACACACCTCCCTACTTCTGCTGCAGGCTCTTCAACACCTGGTACGCAGGGCTTCCACCAGACATGGGCAGAAACCTTAACTCCCTCGGCTAGGAAAAGAGGGACCAGTCTCCCTCTCTCTCAACCTCTTCAGGGGGATCATGCTGATGTGGGCAGAAAGAGGGGCTTCTCCTTGCTCCACTGGCCCCAACCCAACCCCCTGTTGGGGACGGAGGGGAGCAGCCATTGCCCCCTCGCCCTCTTCTCCCTGCGGCGCCTGTGGCTGCCCCAGTTTTCCGACTCTTCTCCAGAAAGAGGGCAGGGCTGCACCTGCTCCCTCCACCCGGCTGGGCTCACGTCTAGGCCCTATCTGCCACCTGCACCAGGAGGCCTTCTCTCATGAGTCTTCCCCAGTCCGCAGAGCAGGAGGGCCCTGCTCCAGGGCCAACGCCTCAATCTGCCAGCGACACACAGGGCACTTGGCCGTGTCTGTTAAGACCCTCCAGGCACAGTAGCTGCAGAAGTGTGCATGGCCACAGGGGACAAAGCAGGTGTTGGCAGCATGGTAGAAGCATATGACGCACTCCTCTCCTGGTGTGGCTGGGAAAGGGGACGACATTGGTTAGGGGCATGTGGGGGCAAGGGATGGGCCACCTACTCATGCTATAACCACAGGACAGAGAACTATGCAGCCGTGTCTTGAGCCATGAGAAAATGCTCACAATGTAATCAAGTGAAAAAAAATGGGAAGAAAACCATAATGTACACGCATATATATCATAGAATTCCAATTCAGAGAAAAAGGAAACAAAGCACAAACAATTCCCCCTAAATACATAAATATATCTAGGATTAAAAAGTACTGGGCGGAAATCCACCCAAGAGGTAATGGTTGATTTTTATTACTTCCGTCTTTATCCTTTACTCTTTATTTTTATTTGGCAAAACTTTACAATGACGTGAATTACTTTTTTAAAGTGAGAACATAATAACACTATCTGCTCATGAATGTGCTCTTGTAACCTGTAATGTTAGCCAATGTCCTAGAAGGCAGAGCTGTTAAATTGTTTTTAGGTGTCCAGTAGGCAGAGCCAGCCCAAAGCCTGTGGGACACTTGACTGAGCAACCAGAGCTCAGGCCTCCCCTCACCCCCACCCCACCCCTGGGTGCTGGAGTCCCGGGGAATCCCTGGTGCTCCCAAAGCCACTCACCTTCAGACCCAGGCACAGCCTTCTCACTGAGGACCGTGGGCACGGGTGTGGGGAATCGGCTGGCTGTGGTATCTAAGGCAGAGAGGGACAGTCAGGGCCAGGAAAGTAAACCCAGGGTGCTCGCACCGCACCCTGGCCTGCAGCAGTGTCCATCTCCTTTCTTTTCTGGGTTACAGTGCTGGAACTCCAGGCTGGTTTGAAGACCCTGTCCTGGCCGCCCCCTCCCCAGCTTAACACAGCCGAGAATTCGAGGGGCGGTAGACTCTTCCTCCTAAACCGCCCTTCCTTCAGGCCACTGTCTGAGTGGAGACCCTGAGCATGACCCACGTTCCCACACCCGGACGAGCATCAAAATCGCCCAGGAGGTGGGAAAACACAGGTGCTGAGGCCCTGCTCCAGACCTAGCAAATCAGGTGCTCCAGGGGGAGCTCCAGCAGCTGTGGCAAAGGATTTTAGAAACAAATTCGCTGGGGGGAGAGGAAGCATGCCAATTATTTTTTCTATGGGAATTACTTACTGCTTCCCTGCGCCCCCCTGAAGGCTGGGGGGGTGGTCGTTTCCCCGCCCACTGCGTGAGTGTCACCCCTCCCCCTGCAGACGGTTTCCTTGCACAGCTCCAGCGTTCACACTCACGTTGCCCTTGTCTCTAGCGAACTCCTACTTAGACTGTAAAGCCCGCTCCAAATGTGCCTTCCTTTGCAAAACGTGATCAGCCTTTCCACAGATGTTTGGGGTGCTGGTTATTTCTTCTCGTTATTCTTTTGGGACAAGGCTGCCCTCCCTGTAACTGGGTCCTGTCCATCTGCTGTCTCCAGCACCCAGCGTCACAGCTGACACCGGCCAGGGGCTGATGGCGTAGCTGATTGGATCGATCGGTGGGGGGGTCGCCCGAGCCTCCATGGCCCCCCACCGCCACCCCCACCCCGGGGAGCTGTGCCTGGGTCCCCGCAGGTTGCCTCACCCAGCAGCTCGATGGCCTTGGTGGTCCCGTACACGTCCATCACGGCCCAGAGCGGGGCGCCCGTGAGCACGCCCTTGCGCAGCAGGAGCCGGGGGCCCGCGTTGACCCTGGCGAAGAGCCGGCCGCGGGGGTCCACCCAGAAGCTGACCACGTCCCCCGCGAGCGCGCAGCCGTCGGGCAGCATGGCCGCCCACGTCGGGCTCTGCTGCTCCAGGTCGGGGCACACTCGTGGCGGCAGGCTGGGCGCGGACACGCGCGCGG